GCTCGACGTAGTGGATGTTGGCTTGCATCCATCTAAATGGACGTAGTGGCCGTTGGCTTGTATATATCTATCTAAAATCTATCTAAAATTGCAGTCGTTTTTGTTGTTTCCTTTTGTTCTGCTTTGTTGGTGCTCTATTTCCTTCCTGCTCAGAGTTGTTTTTGTTCTTCCCTTTTGCTCTGGTTGGTCTCTGAGCTCTATCTAAAATTGCAGTCACTTTTGTTGTTTTGTTTTGTTCTGCTTTCTTCTTGCTCTGTTTTCTTCCTACTCAGAGTTGCTTTTGTTGTTCCCTTTTGCTCTGGTTGGTCTCTGCTCAGACTCTGGGTCATTTGTATATTTCTTCTTTTTCTCAGATGACTTCGGCTTATTTGTATTCTGCTCTTCTTTCTCAAATGCTGGATTGATGCGAGTTCCCTGTGTTAGTGTGGTGTCAGTTTTAATTTTGTTGTTTTTCGTTTTCGCTTAGGTTGTACGAAGTTTTCTTTTCTTCTTTCTTTTAAGTTCTCTTCTACTTCTGCATATTATTTTTGCATGCATGGGGATTATTTTTTGCTTTTTACCATATCAGCCAGTATCTTTTTCGATAATGGACAGATTTTTGCAGACTTAGTATTGCGCGGCCTTTGATAAATCTTGATTTGTTGTAAACTTGCTATTGCATGAACCTTGATGCGCTTTCCTTTGTTTTCGATTTATTTGATATTGGTTTGTCTTATACACAACCTTTATATATTGTTGCATGTTAGTCTGCTATTTTTTCTTCTATATCTGTTACATGCATGGGGATAGGTTTTTTTTTTTTTTCATATTAGTGATTATGTTGTTTTTATCATTGAGAGAATCTTCCCAAATTCTTCCGTGCAATCGATTTTTTCTTTAATGGCTGTTGCATATGATTCTTTTCTGATATCTTTGTCCATGCAAATTGGCTAGCTAGGCGTCGTTCTAAAATTGAATTTTTTACTATTGTATAATTTGCTTTTTTCATCAATTTGAGGGGCCTTTGGTTAGGGTGTCTTAGTGGGTTATTGCAGTAAATTACACCAATTTGAGGGCCCTTTGGTTACGGTGGTACCAATAACTATTGTTCATTTGTTGGTAATTGAATGGAGCCAATAACTATTCTTCATTTGTTGGTGATTGGCTGATTGAATGGAGCCACATTAGACCGGTTATTGGTGTAATATTGGCCAATTCAAGGAACTAATCGTTCCTAATTACAATTAGAAATATGTGATATAAAATCAAATAGGTGTAATATTAGCCACACTAGACCGGTTATTGGTGTAATATTGGCCAATTCAAGGAACTAATCGTTCCTAATTACAAGAATAGTGTTAAAAAAAATCAAAATTTCAATTCAAAATGAAAATTTTAACTAATTTAACTATACTTAAACTATTGACTAGCTAACTAATTTAACTATAATAAAATCAAAATTTTCCTAATTACAATTAGAAATATATGATATAAAATCAAATAGGTGTAATATTAGCCACATTAGACCGGTTATTGGTGTAATATTGGCCAATTCAAGGAACTAATCATTCCTAATTACAATTAGAGTGTTAAAAAAATCAAAATTTCAATTCAAAATGAAAAATTTAACTAATTTAACTATACTTTAACTATTGACTAGCTAACTAATTTAACTATAATAAAATCAAAATTTCAATTCAAAATGAAAATTTTAACTAAATTAACTATGCTAAACTAAAACTATTGACTAGCTAATAGTAGATGATAATTAGAATTTAATTGAGTGTTGACTAGCTAATTAGAATTTAATTAGAATTTAACTAATGTAACTATACTAAAACTGATGACTAGCTAACTAATTGAACTATAATAAAATCAAATTTTGAATTCAAAATGAAAAATTTAACTAATTTAACTATACTAAAACTATTGACTAGCTAATAGTAGATGATAATTAGAATTCAATTGATTGTTAAAAAAAATCAGAATTTAACTATACTAACTTAGTTACTACCTAAGTTATTATATGAGCCTAAAAATTAGGATAACTCATAAAAGAAATTATAACATATCAAAGGAACAATAAAAAATAAAACAAAATAATCCTTTCCAAATTATCAACAAAAAACCATTTAGGCATGACAAACCTAATACAATTAATTATCTCCCCTGTAAGTATATTTACTCCAGATTCAATAACACGTATATCATTATTATAGACAAATGTTCGCACCACATGCACATGAATTTCCATATGGATACCATTACATGCATTGCATTATAAACAGAACCCTAAAATTATACATGCTAAGCTTAAACCTAGCCATTGCCTCTTAGTGGGGCTTATTGAATCGGGTGCATGTGAGTGGGTGCTGTTGTCGGTGATTGCGTGGCGCTATATTGTGTATATGGTGCGTTGAGTCATTGTCCAAGAGATCCCATTTTCTTAAGCTCTTTCTGACAGGAAATTTTTAGGTTGCAACGTGTCTAGTTAAACATGTCCACTTCCTACCATCCTCAGAGTGATGGCCAGACAGAGGTAGTTAACAGATGTTTAGAGAACTATTTGAAGTGCATGGCTGGTGATCATCCCAAGGATTAGAGTTTATGGCTACCAATGGCCAAGTACTGCTATAATACGAATTTTCATTCCCCTGCCAAATTCACTCCTTACGAGATAGTCTAAGGCCAGCCTCCCCCACTTCACATTCCTTACCTACCTGAGACGGCAATTGAATCTGTGGACAGGAGCCTACATGCAAGGAAGAAAGTCATTCACTCCCTCCGGCATAATCTGTCCAAGGCTCAACACAGATAAAACAGTTAGCTGATGGAGTTTGATGTGGGTGATTGGGTTTATATTAGACTTCAACCTTACAGGCAACACACTCTACACTCTCATCACTGTCAGAAGTTATCTCCTCATTATTTTGGTCCATTTCAAATGTTGGCAAGGATAGGAGCAGTGGCATACAAATTAGCCTTACCATCACATGTTCGTATTCATGACACTTTCCATGTTTCCCTGCTCAAGAAGAAGGTCGGCACAGGGTCTATTCAAGCTCAGATTCCTGTTGGAATCACACACCAGGGACAGATACTGTTGGAACCCATTGTAATTTGGACCGATGTTTGGTCAAGCGTGGGAGAGTTGTTGCTACCCAGGTGCTAGTTCAATAGAGTAACAGCTTTCCCGAAGATGCTACCTAGGAGTACTTGCAGGACTTGCGGCTACAGTTCCCTCATTTCAATCCTTGAGGCCAAGGATTGTTTGAGAGGAGGGTATTGATACACGTGAAATGGATTATGCGTGAAATGGGTTGCATATGCGTGTATAGGGCTACATGTGGCTGTGCATGGAGTTAGTTACAGCTGGAGTTAGGTACGATAGGTTAGTCGTAATTTGTAAAATCTTATGACATTAGTCGACGTCATAAGTTTGTTAGCCTACTTAAGATCACCACCTGAGTCACTTATAAAAGGTGAAGTTGGAAATCTATGGCGGTAGTGGATTCCATTTGTAAAGTTGCTTTTTTCACATTTCCTGTAATTTCTTCTGTTCATCATTCAAGGCAATAAATCTTCTCTGGTTTTCGAATTACTTCTCTATCATTTCTGTGGTCCTTAGACCAGAGATTAACGACCTCCACTGCTTTTTGCATCAGTACCAGTTTTCACAATATCAACCCAATGTGGAAGTTCCATCCCTCCAAATCGCCTGAGATGGGCAGCACAAGCCTTGACAAAGTTATGAGGAGAGACGTTTTTTCACAGTCCTTGCAGTCGCATTGTCGAATTTGTCTCTGCAACAGCTTTGTTGGTGGCTACCGTTGTCGAATTTATCTCTGTAGCATCTCTGCTAGTGCAGCCTAGGATTTTGAGAGCAAAATCGAAGTAGATGTGCTAGGGTTTATTATTCGGGGAGTTGTTTATGAACATAAACTTCAGCCAAAAAGTCAAATCGATGATTTTGCCCCTCAAAAATTAAGCCTGGAAGTCATGTGACAAGAATTCCGTTTGTCCTAACGATTCAATTACACGAAATGCTACAAAATATGCATTTTAGTTAGTTCAGTGATATTTTTGGCTAATATATTAATTTAGTGACTTGAACAAGCACTAATGTATAGTTTAACGACATTTTCCGTGATTTGCTCCTACTTATTAAATCCTACACTTCTCTTGTTAGAAAAAAAAAAAAGAGAAAGTATTAGTATACAATATATTATAAACAACTAGGCTTAGGGTATCAAAGCATTTCTTCGTTAATTGTGTACTCCTTGGTTGGAGTTGAGTATTGAGGGACACTTTTATATCTAGAAATACTGAACCTTTTTTTTAAAAAAAAATTGCAGCATTGACTTACATCTACGTAGAACCCCTTTAGGTCAGAATATTTTATGCTATAAAAAGTCATCACGCAGCTAAATACTATGGACAATGACTTCCAGTACCATATACTTATCAATGACTGGATTGTATTCTCATCTGACAAGGGATCAAATTAGCCAAATCATATGGTTAAAAGTAACAGTGTTGAAATGATTTAACAAGAATGAAAAGAAAACAATAATAAATCCCAAAATTAAATTTTTTTTCCCACAACCTTAACAGTGATTAGGAAATAACAAAGAGCCATGCCACTGAAGCAGCGGTTTCATCTTCACTATGAGCAAATTTGTTACTCATAAATTTGGCTAGCCTAATACATCATTTTATATACAGATAATTTCTATGCCATGCTACAAGAAATTATGTTATTGACTCTTCATTTTGTATTAGAGTATTCATATCCATAGCTCGTCTATATCCGAGTCCAAGTGTCTAGGAATTGTATCAGTTTGGACACGTGCGGACTGTATTGTAACAACACTTTCTACAAATACCCTTCGAAGCAAAAAAAAAAAACCCACAAAAATAACAAAGACGTGATAGTGAGCATAACGCTTTCTACAAATGGCGGGAAAAAGATGGGAAGCAGGGTCAAGGCAGAGGCAGGCCGCCAGCTACTATATAAGTATCAATAATCAACGGGTATATAAGAGAGCGCGCGTGTAATACGTTTATGTAGGAATGGCGGAAAAAGAGAAAGAGAAAGAGAAAGCGAAAGCGAAGGAGAATGGTGAAGTGACGACGGTGACGGAATCGGCGGCTGGGGAATTAGAGGAGTTGCCGAAGACAATTGTCCGGCGGCTGGTGAAAGATAAGCTCTCTCAGCTCTCTGCCGAGTCTGAAATCACCGTTTTCCGCGAAGCCCTGCAGGCCTTCTCCGAAAGCGGTCGCATCTTCATCCACTACCTCACCGCCACGTGAGTTCGATTTACAGATTCATACGAATATTTCGATGTATGATAATTATTAGTTGACGGACAAGTATAAGAATTTGTGCTTTCCTAGGGTTTGAAGTTTTCTTTTTCGGCCAAAAATATCGTAATTCCGAGCAATTTCGGGGATTCACTTCTAAGATCTCCGATTAGTCGATGCAATTTCGAAAGTTTTTCAAATGAGAGAAAACTCAAGCTTGAAATAAACCAAGAGAATGCATTTGTTGTTCCGAGTTTGTACACTGTTAAATCTGTTTGTTAAGTGAAGTGTGAGTGGGTGATATGTTTTCAATGAACGGTTTGTAGTGCAAATGATATATGCAAGGAGTCGAATAGGCAGATAATAAATGCCGAGGATGTTTTGAAGGCGCTTGAGGAGATAGATTTTCCAGAGTTTGTTCAGCCTCTCAGGGCCTCTCTTGAAGGTCCGTACCTCTTTTATGTCAATGCTGTTGCTTAATTATGTTTTTGGTAGCAAAAGTCAGCATTGTCTATATCTGGAGTGTTAAAAGCTGCCTTTCACTTGGGGACTTCTATGGCCTAACTTTATCCATTTGTCTGGAGGAGATCTTTTTTTTTTTTTTTTGATCAAATGATAGATTGCATATATTGGTTAAAAGCATATACAGTTCGAGCAAAGGCTCGAATGTACTGTTGTGCATTTAGCACAGTAGGTTGGGGTTGACCCATTCTACATCATGATAATTGCTCAAGGCTTGAGCACTAAGATAATAACTAAGATCATTCTTGTTTACATCATTCAGGCAAAAGGAGCATTTGTAAAACAAGTACTCAGCTCTTATATTAGATTGTGAAAAATATGAAAATTCGTGCTTACAAGATCTCAAGGCAGCTAAGCTAATTTTTTTTTTAAAGATGTCACTAATCTACCATGTTCCATCTCTTAGTGACCAAATTGCAGGAAATGCCCTGAAGTGGATGTATGGTTGCAGGTCCTGTAGGTATTATGCCTTTCAGCAGTTGACCATGTCCTAATACTGGCTTGAAACAAGCATATCCAGAGAGTTATGAGATGAAACAGACACAAAAATCCCTGCTTGTGCATTAGCTTTAGAAAGGTCCCTAATATGTCTATATTTCTCTCATATTGAAGCCCTTCTCCCTGATCATTCTTGTATTACTTGCTCCAAAGTCATTGGAAGTGCTTAATAATAATTAAAAATTTGACAAACTTGTCTTGAAAGTAATGTATCGATGTGCACTAAATCACTTGAGCATGAAGAAGATTAGTTGGAGCATCTGTCTAGTTTGTTATCTTGCAACCAATTGAAATTCATTTAGTTTCATCAGTTGAGAAGTCAAAAGTCAATTATAAATCTATAAAGATGCTCGCTCTCAGGAATTGCAGTTGTTAACTTTGATTCAGTTTGTCTGGCTTGTATCATTTTAGATATCCTTAAATCCTATGTAGCGGAGTCTATTTCTAGTAATGCATTCAATGGATAGAACATCAGACAACCAGTGTGTGCTTAAATTCATTAGGCAGTATTAGTCATTTGGTGCTTTGGCAGCAAAAGTCCTGTCCATTAGCTAGTTTTTCCCCACTTTATTTTTTGTTTCAAAGTTTCTTCCTTGTAGAATTTGCAACCAAGATTTGGCCTTGCTCATGTCATATGAACTAGCTGTTTTGAGATTAACCAGAGCTCTGTATATGCATCCTATTTTTTTTTAACTGATCTGTGTTCTCTTTTTTTTTTTTTGAGCCAATGCCATATGTGACTGTTGGAGATTGCCTTTGTTTTCTACCTTGGTTTTCCCTTTATTCAAGACATTCTGCAGGACAAATTAACTCTTTCAGCGCATGAAAAAGCATTAGCAAGACACTCGTTAATGGACGGAAGTTATGCTTCCACAGTAAATTGATCATGTAGGGATCACCATATTATTTTATTTTTTATTGTATCCCTCGATGCTGCCATTCTTCATACGTATTTAGCTGAACAATTACACGTAACTGGATGGAGAAGTTGTGTTGCCTGGTAATTTTTAAGAGATTGGAAGAATTCGAAAATGAAGAAAGAAAGAGTAATAAATCTCTTTATAAGACAATTATTGGGTAGATTGTGAGTGGTGAGCTTACTGGATTTCTTGCATTTTTTTTCCTTTTCCTTCATCAAACAGAATTTCGCCAAAGGAATGCTGGAAAGAGATCAGGATCTTCAAGGCCAAGGAAGCTGATAGAAAGGGCAAAAGGAAAGAGCCACCTACAGCAGAAGTGGAAGATGAGCAAGATGCAACTAAAAGTGATGAAAGTGAAGATGGTGCTGATGACTGAGGAGATTTTTCCCTAAGTTAGCATAGCCACCCCCCCCCCCTTTCCTCCTCCTCTTCTCTCTTAAGAAGGTAGCCAAGCATAAATTATAGTAATACGGTCCAGATGGATATATTGGGTATGCTTGAGCGTGTGTAGCCTAAGCCTACTGAAAGTTGACGTGGTTTACAAAATTGGCATTTTTGGTGCAGTCTCACTTGCTATATTAGGCTTTTCTTTGGTCTTCTTGAAAGCTGATACTTGCGTTAACTGAGTCTACCTATTGGCCATCCCTTTTGCTTCTGTCCTCTAAAGACTGAATTGGAAGAAGGGAGAACATTCAGTTGCAAAAATATGCTATATGATGCTGAAAGCTACTACTATTTTTAAATGCTGAAAGCTACTTGGAACAAAGAAAATTCCGTTCACCATAGAAGGCTATTTTCTCTGTAAATTCACCTTGGCTGATGTTTATGTTTCATATCAATATTTTCCAGTTAAATATGGTGATCTTTTACTGCGTTTTATTTGTGTGCGATTTTAATTGACCTTCTCTGTAGCAAGTTCACAGATCAAACAAATTTAGCACTACTGCCTGACCGATTGTTTGGCTGGCGAATGCACCAACATTTCCGTCATTAACGTGGAACCTAGGGTGAGGCTAGTGCAATAGTCTGTCTAGTTTTGGCTTTTCGGTATGGAGGCCCTAGACATGAAATTGAGCTAATATTATCCTCACAGTTTTTCATTTTTTATTTGTCCAATTCATTGTATAATTTTGGTGAACATTACAAATTTCATAGAAGCATTCGAAAGAATTTTGGCATATTCAGCTTTTCCCGAAGGCTCAAAGCCTCGAAGAACATCTTTGACCTAAGTAATTCAGCAATGTACTACACACAAAAAAAAAAAGCTCAAAATGCTAGGACTTAGATGAGTAGAACAATTTGCCTAAACATCCAACATATTAAGTCCCAACTTTCAACTTAAAAAGCCCAAGAAGCACACGTCTGTAGGCTCCAAATAAAAAAAAAAAGCAACTAGTAAGGCCGATATCGACGCCCCTGGCTACTATTGTTACTCTGCCTACCCCTGCCTGAATTGCTGCCACTTTTGTTGCCACTACCACTGCTAATCCTGCTGTCAGCTTTCTGCTGTGGGGTGTGTATGGCTGGCCTCCTGGCTGTTGCCTGCAAGACAAAGAAAGAATAGTTGACATCCTTCTGCGGATATACAGTTAATGCCTCGTGCAATAGAACAAAGGACCAGATTGACTTTGTTCTTCATCTCATATCTGCTCCCCTAGGCTACGACTTGCAATTCCATAAAAAACTCTGAGGAAATCAACCTTATGCACAACCAAATTTATGCTTCACCTACCCTCTCCATTTTATACACAGGTACCAGTTAATTTGCTTTTACAAGATTTCCAATGTATGTAGCCTAGAATTGAACCCAAAGTACCCATTACCAAATTGTCGAACATCATATTATTAGTACTAGCACCCTTATTATCATGCCAATAATCACATATCTAGCGAAGCAAAACCAGAACTACTGGAAAAATGAAAAATAAAAAAAGAAACCTCCAAAGTTTATGGGCCTAATTCTTAAAGTAACATATCAGAGTTAGTTCAGCATGCAATCTGTTTATCTACTGAGAATTACTCAAATCACATCTGGTGGTCACATATGCAAATTCAGAGGTTTCCCCAGATGAACATAGAAAACTAGCATTCTTTCCCAGGTTAATAAGGTCTATACAGGCCAGTTAAAAACTTGGCTTTCAACAATGATAGGAAGAAGTACTTGGTCCAGATAATCAGATTATGTTTTTACTACAAGTTATGGAAGTATGCATACTGCCATAGTGAATATACATACCAGCGCATGGCACATAAACACCAAAGAACCATAGAACCAAAAAAAAGTTAAATAAGAAGCTCACTCTAGCAACAAGTCAACTGAGTATAACTTTATAAAAAGACAAGAAACTTTCAGTAAAACACTTACAGGACATATCCTATCCGTCCATCAGGAAGAAGCATTGGCATCATGGCCATGCCAGCGGGTGATGGTCCCCTGCCATAGATGAAAGGCTGCACCATAGACACAGAAGAATGTTATAAGAAGGCCAAAAATGTGAAAATAACCAGGAAAGAGATTGAACAAAAAAGTCAACCCAACGTGTAGAATTTATGACTATTTAACCATACAATACCATAAATCAGTTTTCAGATACAATTATGTTCCACAAGATGATAGGCATAACAAGAAAGATGGGACATTACATATTTTAAACAATTCAAGTTAAATGTTCAAAAAGGCACTTCTGTCTTCAGTTCACCAGCAAACACAGTGAATGAACAGGTTTTTTTTTGGGGGGTTTTTTTAAGGGGGGGGGGGGAGGTTGGGGGAAGATGTAGTAACATGTATAGCAAAAGTTTCATAACTACAACCATAAATGGATTTCCTGATAAATTCCAATATGTCTAGAATTCTTAGAATTTCAAACAACCAGTAAAACAGACATATGAGAATACAGAAACTATAATTTGGTTGGTTTTCATAGATCAGACACAGAAAACAATTCAGATGAAGTGGGACATGTCTATAAATATAATAAAAGATCATGTTTGGTTTGCAACTGCACACATACTGTAAACAATCACAAAAAGTGTGTTACACGATTTCAATCAGTGACCCAAATGACATAATCCTGACATAATCCAATCTCCTCCTAAATCCAACCAAGAAAGCAGCCTATCGGCCGCTCGGTCAGCCGACAGAAAATCTAAGTCTTTCTTTTGTCTATTTTATTTTACTAATCCATATTTCCAGCAACAATCTATTTAGTAAACCCTTTGGTTTACAAGATAATGTTAGGAACAGAAATTAATAACAGAAAAAATTAATGATACTGAACAAACAATAAAGTGGGAAGTATAGATTAGGTAGCACCATCTTTCACGATCAGCAAGGGAGAGAAAGGGAATGAAGGAAACCATGGATACAAACATTCATACCTGAGCAAAGCCAGTCGTACCAAATCCTGCCCCTACTGCACCATATGCACCACCAACCAAACCAAAACTAACAGGGGGTGCATAACTAGGCAGCAAAGCAGACTTCTGTACATTTGGTCCTCCAGTAGGTTTTTGTTCTGCCTGTGGTTTTGCAAGAGAGCACTCGACCACTTGTCCTGGCATTCATCAACAAAAGATGGTTTATCAGCATTTTTGCTGAGAATAAAATAGCAAGAAACTAGAAAAGCTGACACAGGCAATACCATTAATCTCATATTTCTCAGTGTTTTGAAGTGCTTTCATGGTGCTTGATCTCTCTGCAAAGTGCACAAAACCGATTCTGTTCTTTTCCTGCCCAGCCTTTGCTGGTGGCAGCACAATTTTTGTGATTTTCCCATGGTGTTCGAATAGCTTCTTTAACTGATCTTGGGTGATATCTTTAGGCAAGCTTTTCACATAAACTGCCTTCACCTGCTAAGAGAAACACAGACATATTACTCTTGTATCCACAAAAACTTCCACATGAACAGAATTGATGTAACAACTTCAGAAACCAGAGAGGCTGACAAAGTAACCAGTTAATAAGAAGCCAAAAACACAAAATATTCCAGAAGCACTAGATATGTACTTTCTAAACTTTGATTGTCTAACTTTGTGGGTGTGTATGTGTGTTAATTGTCAACCATAAGAAGACAGATTTTGGCCGCAGCTCTGAGGGTCCAAGTCATTACCCTAAGGTTATACACTGCAGACAATACATGCTTATGCAGATTTTCTGAAACCATATGTGAATCCACAGCACACATGCATATACGTGCAGACTCCAATAATTTAGTAGTAGCAAAACCCTTACCCTTCTGTCTATCATGCAATACCCCTCCTTAAAGGTGTATAAATCCATATAATATTCTCAAACCTGTGAAGCAGCTGAAGACTCGGCATGTTTAGGATCAGCCCAACTGACAGTTGGAGCATTATTATCCAGCTTAAAATTTGGGTTGATCATCTTTTGCCTTGAATATTCAGCACATGCATGATTATGATATTCTATAAATGCAAATCCCCTATTGTTTTGTGAATTTTTTATGTCCTGCATATAACAAAAAGAGGAGTAAATGATCATGGCTTGGGTAAGACTTACAAAAATTATATTACCTGCATTAAAATTTACATGCTGAAAAATAACATGAAATGAAGAATGAAGCCATATATGATACAAACCTTAACCAGTTCCACAGAAGTAACACCAGGTCCCACCTCCATCACAGCCTTCTTTAAATCTTCATCACCCCAGTTCCTTGGAACATTACCAATAAATAAACGATGCTTCGCTTGAGATGTAGAACATTTGATTTTTTTGCCCTATGAGTGAGAGAGAAATGGGAAGAAGAAGAATAAGTTAAAGAGCAATCAGTACTTCCAGCATATAGAACATTGTCAAGCATAAAACACAAACAGCACAGGAAAGAAGTAACAAAGTGTGTTGTGAGAGTAGAAGCAATAGCTACGAGTATTGCCATAGTACCCACGAAATCAGCTCAACAATATGTTAAAATTACCTTGAATTCAGTGTTATTAAGATCCCGAATTGCTTTAGTTGCAAGCTCAACACTTTTAAAGGTGACAAAAGCATAGCCCTTCTTCTCACTGGAATCTTTCCCTTTCATTATTCTTACCTAAATGCAACAAGAACGACAGAATTAGATGTCACGAGAACCAACATCAAAGTATACCTAAAAAGCACAAGAACCTTACCTCTGTGACTTCTCCTATTGATTCGCAAAATCCCCTTAATTCCTCTTCAGAAGCATCTCGAGAAATTCCGCCAATATATACTTCTGAACCATGAGGAGGAAGAGCAAGTAGCTCAGCATGCTTTTTATTGTCATCTTGTTCATTAACTCCTGAGACACACTGATGGACCCATTAGCAGCTTCAATTTCCTCCTCTTCGTCCACCTCTACTTCTTCAACCTCTTCCTCTTCATCATCTTCTATCTCTTCTACTTCCTCTTCTTCTTCCACTTCTTCATACTCAACTTCTTCATCCATTAGGTCTTCATTATCATTATCACCATCAAAGGCTAATCTCTCGTCAGAATCATTTGATTTCTCAGGTTCAAAAGCTTCTCAGCTTGTTCCAATGCATTTGCTTTCACCTTTGGCATCTTAGTATCTATTTAAGCTAGCGTTCAAGGCAACTGTGAAGAAGGTACAGAAGCCAGAAGAATTCATCGGAAGCACCATACAAATAATGACTGGTGGCAAGAAAATGAAATGCCAAGGAGAAGTGTAAGGTTGAAACCGCAATTTAACGTGACATTGACTCCAAAGAATTCAATGTGAATGATTTGTGCAGCGAAAATTTAGATATCATGGGACTAACAGTTTAGGTAGAAAGAGAAGCCTGTATGATAACAGAAAGGAATATGAAGGAAATACAAAAAACCAAGAAAGGTCTGTTTTGAGACAGG